AACTCTGCCTTCTCACTCACAGTCAGCGCGAGAAATTCGTCACAGTGCTGGAGCTCGTGTGTTTGCTGACACATGGTACACCAGTCACTGTGTCCGTCCGCTGATGACTTTATGGCAGCTGCCCTCTCCCGCCTTACAGCCGCCGGCGTGGGCCGCGCCGACGCGGTGGTAAACACGCGTCTCGGACGGCACTCAGCGTCATTAGCCTCGACCTTCGGCAGCTGCTTGGTGGTCACGTTCAAGGCCAACCGACCAGCTGACACATGACGGCGAAGCCATTCGTCGAGATCGGCGAGCGTCGGACGAGTGATGCCGTTCTCAACCATGTGCTCACCCCACCTCCAGGCGAGGGAGGCTGGTAGCTTCCCAGTCACAGTGGTGACGTTCGTGGCGGCAGCGAGGTCGTGCTCGTAGTGCAGACACTGTAGGACGCTCACCGCGGTGTGGAGCTCACGAGACAGCTCTGTCAGCGCTGACAGGTCGCCATCTTTCACCGCCCGCGCTGTGAGCAGTCTTTTCATCGTGGCGTGTATCACACGGGACGGGTCACCAAACTCTCGCTCCAGCTCACCCAGGGCGGTGCTGTATAGACTGGCGTCGCAGAGCATGCCGCGCACAGACTCCTTCGCCGGCCCCGTCAGGTGAGTCTGCAGGTAGGTTAGCCGTTCCACATCGGTGAGATCAGCGCGGTCGTGCACCAGCGCTTTGAAGAGGGCTATCCACCGCGGCCACTCGATGGCAGAGCCGCCGAACTTCTCCAGCGTAATGCGCGGCAGATGCGGGACCGCTCGCGTGTCGTCACTGGACGGGCGCTGCAGACGCATTGCAGGTGGAGGCACAGCGCTGACGGGAGCCGTATCCACTGGTGGTACGTGTAGCTGAGACTGAGTCAGCCACTGTCGGGTGCGCGTGACCGACTCGTCCGTCTGTCGAGACACGCATACCTGCACCGGTGGCTCTGTTGCAACCACCGGGAGGCCGGCGACGGATGGTGCAGCGTAAGAACGAGCGAGCTGCGAACCCCGCTCCTCCTGCTCCAGCAGCTCCAACTCCAGCTGGCGGCATTCTGCTTCATCCTTCGCCGCCTGAGCTTCCAGCGCTGCCTGCGCCTCCGCCTGCTCCGCCTGCCGCCGGGACTGCTCTGCCTGCGCCTCCGCCTGTTGTCGGGCTTGCTCCGCCTGCGCCTCCGCCTGACGCCGGGCCTGCTCCGCGTCCGCCTCCGCCAGACGCCGGGCCAGCTCAGCCTTGGCGGCGGCGGCGCGCTGGGCCTGTTCCGCCTGGAGCTGGCTAAGTGCAGCCCGGCGGCGGGCTTCACTGAGACCGGAGGACGCCGTGCTGAAGCTCGCCTCGCTCCTCGTGTGATACGAGCTTCGGCGGCTTTGATGTGATTTCGCATCACTGGCATGTCGTGACCGCTTGTCAGACATTGTACTCACAGTTCACAACACCGCGTCGTCACTGTAAATCCATCACACTAGTTCACTGATATCCGGCCCGGAGGACCAGAATGTTCGTGAGAATCGTTCAGTTCACCCGTTCGTTCTCGTACTCGTTCTCTTTCGTCACCCGGAGGACCATAAAGTTATCGTTCATATATGTAAAAGTCTATTCTTGATTGACAGGCAAACGGTTAAAAGGGTAAATACGGCGGTCACAGACGCAGTTCACTGAATCGTATCGCGTTCTCGTAAGGCCACGTCGGCCGCGTCGTACGTAGGGCCACGTCGGCCACGTCGTGCACCGGGCCGTGTCGCACCGGCGGAGTCCCGTTGAAGACTGTCGGGCCCCCGTCCCGTCTCAGCCCTCGTGGTAGCACAACACGTGGGCATGAGAACCAGGACAGGGGCCAGATGACACGATTTACACATGTGCGCGCGGCGCGGCGCGGCGGGCCGACCGTCGCGCTCCGAGCGCCGGCCGTCTTCGTCAAGATACATACAGAAACGGATTTGCTCGCTAACACTAGGTAATGAGTACACCTCTTCAATGCCAAGTACACCTCTTCAATGCCAATAATGTTCACCGAGCGCAGCCTGTTGCAAAGTGACCGAGCGCCATTACCCCTCTCCTTCCCTCCCCGCCTCGGATAACCGTCCCGCCCGCCAGCTCCCTCCTCCCTCCCCGCTTCCCCAGCTCACGACCGGCACCCGCCGCGACCGAGGTCGGCCGGCCGTTGCCATGACGACCGTGCTGAGATGTTCCATCTCCGGACGGGCGCATTATGTGCACCTACTGCGCGGCTGCTCTCCCGATGCCGGATGCCGTCGGCGGAGGCTGGAGGCTGCATCCTGGCCGGCCCGCTGACGTCATTAATCCGCTGCGGCTGGAGCGCGGTATGGGTGGCTAGTGGCCAGCCGCTCACGGGATGAAGGCAGCGCCCAAGCAGCGCCGGTCGGCGCAGATGCGGCGCGCTGATTGGTCGGTTCTCGAGGCCGGCCGTGAGATCTCGCTGGTTATTGGTCGCTGGAAGCCGGCGGCGAGAGCAATCCAGGCCGGCCGTGGGAACGCGAGACGTTCAGATGGGGAATGGCACCCACCGGAAGGCCGCGTCGCCCCGTCAGCCACTTGAAGCAAATGTCAAGAATGTGGGGCAGCGGGTGCCGGGTGTAACCTGTAGATGTCTGAAGACCTGGCTACATTATGCATTTTCTGCGTGCGTTTTTACGGGTTTGTAGTTTTCTTTTCGTAATATCGTTTTAGAAAAATAAACGAGATGTCCCAGTCAAATTATGGCAGACGGCCGAGACCGTGAGTAAAGCGGTATTGGGAGCCAACAAGGCGTGGTCTGTAAGGGCACTGCATAGTGCATATCTCCCTGATAGCTCAAGAGAATGCTTGCTATCCCGCGTCGGTGGGATTCTTAGCCAGGAAAATACTTAATAAACAAATAAACAAATACATAATAAAATGTATAAATAAATCAATACATCAATTGATTAATAAACAGATAAACTAGGAAAGCTAGAAAGACGTGAAAAAGCAAGAGGTAGCCTATTATACTCGTATGATCTTGGACGGGGGTCTGCGCCAACTCCGTACCGACGGGGGGGGGGCGGATGACCCCCCCCCTGAGATCTGGAGAACAAAGCAAGATAGCGACAAGCGGTAGAAAGCATCGAATACGCACGGACAAGGTCTACAATTTTTACAAAGGTCATTTTCAAGTCAGGTCAAAGATGACGTCACAGGGGTAAAAAAAGTCAAAATGGAGCCGCTATATATGGATAGAGATTTTCTCAAATAACTTTCGAATTAGTCAACATAGGAACAAACTAAGGGCATCATCGTGATCCTCTCGTCAATCCGCATCGAATGATATATATGTTGACCTCGAAAGGTCAAGGTCAAAGGTTGACCTCAGGTCACGTGACCTCGAGATCATCATGTATATCATTCGATGCGTCTTGACGAGCTGAACACAATGAGACCATCCGCGCGGCTGTATCTTGTTTCTGTACGGAATTATTGGCAAAAAACTGCTGGTGACCTCTGATGACGTCACATGACCTTACAGCTGCCTTACAGCAAAACAGACCTCAAGGTAGTGAAGGTTGATCGTATATGAAGTCATGTATGGCATATGGGGCCATTCCGACCCGTTTTAGTGGTAAAAACAGGGAGTTGATTTTTCCCCCATTGACTTATAATGGGGAGGTCGATAAATTGACCTGACCTAAGGTCACCGATATCAAAATTCCGAGATATACAAATTGTAGCCACTAATGACCTTATAACATCCTGCGACTTTCAAAGGCCTCCGACATCTACTGTAGCTCTGGCACGGTGACAAAGTTGCAAAAAAGTGACTTGAGGTTGGGTGGGTCATTCAAAGTGACCTGGTGACCTGACCTTAAAAGTTAGGAGGTTCAAACCTGCACACCATGTGTAAAATTGATGAGGAGAATAGTCGTACGAATTTTTGCGGCGGTACGCGCCGCGGTTTTCCCGCTATTCGCGAAAAACCTCAGGGGGGGCGGATATCCGCCCCCCCCCCGATGCCCCCCTTTACGTTTTGTAGAATATCTCCGAAACCTGATGAGCTACGACCGTGAAACTTGGCATAGCTTCAAGTGAATATCTAGGCAATGTTTGGGGAACGTTTGGTGGTTGTAGCACTTAAGATGACGTCACAGTGACGTCAAGTTTTGTCGTTTTCCGATACGGACCGTGTCTCATGTCGCTGAGCATGAAAATTGAAACTAAACTGTAAATGAGGCATGAGCTAAACAGCACCTGCTGTCATCCTTAAACATCTAAGTACACATCCAAACCTCCCTTAGTCTAAGGAAAGACTACGCTCGCTTCGCTCGCTCCGTAATAATAGTAGGTACGTACAGGTTTAGTAACCTCAGGGCATCTAAAGAATCTCTTCACGAATGAGAACCGACGGTCAGAGCCCAAAATGTGAACGAGCCAAATATCGATGATTATATTTTGACCTGACCTGTGACGTCATCCGTGACCTCGAGGCTAATAAAATTAGGCTCCGCTCGACAGTTTTCCGGGGCTATCAGACGCCGTTTGAATTTTGACAATCGGTCCAGTAGTTTCGGAGTTAGGTAGGAGAGGTTCTATGAATACCCCCCCCCCCCCCGGTAGGGCGCGTTATACGCAGACCCCAGTGGTGCACGGGCTAAAATCTTAACCACTGCCTTTTTTACTTCTGACATTAAATTCCTCCACTTGTGTGAGCCTGGCAGCACGTTATGCAGTGTAGGCACCATGATCGTGTTACCCATTGTTTCGCAATGTTTAATAATCAACACACTCATCGAATCGGAGCATTGCGCCTTGAAGGAGTATGCTAATTATGCAATTTTATCGTAACACAGTTTTGATAAGATGTTTCCTTGCTATTATTGTCCTTGACAGTGCCGAGGGAATGTACCTATGCCTATCGCTGCGCCCGCACGTTATAGTGGGGCCAAGCATCGCGTAGTACACTTTCTCGCCACCAGGGCGGCACCACCGGCGAACAATAAAGCCGGCTACCGAAAGCTTTGGGTCACATTCATTGCCGGAAGGTGTTCAGAGTCCTGAGGGATTGTGCTGTGTAGTGTACTGAGCACAGCTAACATTGGAGGAGCCGCGACCGCCCATAGGATATCACAATGACCGGTAAGTGGCCGACGGAATCTTATTTCGCTGAGGCCAGCCCTCACCGATAAAAAATGCAGTGCAGTTGTCTCCCTGAAAAGAGAAAAAAAAAAGAAACACTCTAAATATGTGAAGAAAAAGCTGCTATTCCAGGGCAGCTAGTGCTCCTGGCAGCTCTGTTGATATGGATGCATAGGCGTTTAATTATTAGCATTTTCATTCAAACAATTCAACACAGCTGTGATTTTTTAACTTTTATAAAGCTTTTGCCTGCAGTCCTTATAAAACAATATCAATTTGCTCAGGCAAGGAAAGAAGCAAAGACGTTAAATAGAAAACTGAACATATGCCAGATTGACCGGCTTCGCTTTCATCTTCCTTCATTGCCTCCTCAATGAGCAGTTTGTTCTCCAGTCTGAAAAAGCTAAAATATGCTAGGGAAATATGTTTCATTCCATGTCATTGCACCTAGCGTCTGTAAAGATACAATGCATATTCTCTCACCAGTAAGACGTGCGAGCGAGAGGACGATTCCTGCAACTGCGCAAGTGAAAAGCGGCACCCTCATCTGTCTCGTGTGGAGCGTAATATTTACTGGTCCCCCTTGAGCTTCGTTGAATTTGGATGGATCTATCTGATGCAAAGACCGCTTGTCGATCGCCCGAGCTGTTGCCTAGATATACTCGTAAGCCTGTCAAAAGCGTCACGGGAACGGACCGGTTCGTACAACCCTTATTGATATTTTTCCGTTTAATCACATCGATAGTTCCGAGCAAGAACATCCTAACTCCTAAGTGTCAAATTTTTCTGAATTGAGATTTTTATACCATTTGACTCAGCTCGTCGAGCTGAGTCGAATGGTATAAAAATATCAACTATAAACTGACTTGTTCGTTGCATATATTCGCTCGCTCAAAAAAAATTTGCGACAGTTACGACGCGCGCTATAAGTTACCTGAACTGAGCGGCCTCTGTGTTGCTAAAAGCGATAGAATATGGACTATCTGGGCAAACATTCAGTTCTTGAGAGGCCTAAAATAGTGCTCAGTCAAACATATGCTAGCAACTTCTGCACATATGTGAAGCTGTCGGTCTAGATTCTAGAAGATACGAATATGTTTCGTTTGGTGTTCGTACGCTCAGTCTACTATTTCATGATTTACTCTAGATGCATTTATAACATAAAACAATTTTAACACAACATCATGGCATGTAATAACGCAAATAATCACTTCATTCATAAAAGTGCTAGGCTAGCGATTAGCAGCGGTTTACCGTGTCGAACCTACAGTCAGTAGGTTTCATTGCGTGCTTTGTCAGTGTCACAGTTACTCGCCACGTCGCGTCGTACAGCGTTCACCATCGCCAGACCTATTGGTTTTCTACATACGCGCCAGCCTAGGGGGGGGGGGGGGAGGCGGGTACAACCCCCCTCGCCGTTTCGCGTCTGCTAGAGCTAGAGCGTCGCGGAAAAACGAGCGTGTGCGCCGTAACGAGACGCAGCGATTAGTATTCGAATTCAAGGTCTCAGGTCAACCGGTGAGCCGCCCATAGCTCACCTTCAACCTATCATAAGAAGGAAAAAACAAGTTCTCTAGCACCTCAAACCTCAAAGCTATCAACCAACGACGTAGTGCTAGGGCTGAATTGAACGATAGGGCTTAGGTTTTATTAAACACTAACCGAACCTACATCGGTTTTCAACATTCGGCTGGGAAGGGGTGGAGTTGTCCGTCGCTTCGCACTATAATTGAGCCATCAGCCATGCATATATTCGCGGGGAAAAATGAGCATGTGAGCGGTTATATAGTTACAGAGACTGGTACCCGATGTTGAGGTCTCAGGTCAACTGTTGGCCTCTGAGGTCAGGCCAAATACCCCAAGGTAAGGGCCCGGGTTTAAGTGAAAAACTTCATCAAAAACTTCATCATCAAAAACTTCATGGTTCATCATCAAAAACTTCATGGTGGACTGAGTGTGTAAACAATTGATGTACCTATGAACATTGTGTATATGTGTGTTGTATGTGTATTGTGTAATGTGTATGTATGAAGATTGTACCACTACCCAACGTAATGCCCACTACTTTGTGGTTGTCGGGTATACTGAAATAATAATAATAAAAAATAATCCAAAATGGTCGCGGAGTCACGAATTTGGCACTGCCGGGTTTTAATGATCAGACACTTCACTGCTGCTATGCTTTTTGTTAGGGAAACATAAATCTATGGTGAAACGTCAAGTCTGGTCATAGCTGTCCAGGTCACGAAGTGGTGGAAAGAGGCCAAACCTACGTCATATCACTCCATTCGGCATATTGCTGGGTTCAATGGTGGCTTCCTTTGACTCGCTGGCTCAATTTTATGAAAAAATTATTGACGAAAAACTCTGATAACCATAATCTACCTAAACGACGTCATATATTACGTCATATCATGCACGTTCCAAATATAAAACTGTAGTAGGCATCAGAGCTGACAAGCTGTGCTCTACTTGTGGCCTGTTCTACAGGACTGTGCCCTCCTCCCCTCTGCTGCTGCTGCTGCTGCTGCTGCTGCTGCTGCTGCTACTGTCGCTTCTGGCCATCGCTGACATGTCGCTGTCCTCCCCAGGCCTGCCTTCTGCCCCGCTGCTGCTGTCGCTTATGGCCACCGCTGACATGTCGCTGTTCTCCCCAGGCCTGCCTTCTGCCCCGCTGCTGCTGCTGCTGCCACTGACGTGTCTCTGTCCTCCCCAGGCCTGCCTTCTGCCCCGCTGCTGCTGCTGGCCGCCGCCGTTCTCACGGTGACCCCTGCCACGGCCGCCACCCTCTCCGAGAGCACCAGCCTGGCCACGCTGGTGTCAGACGTGGTGGCACGCGCCACCAGCACCAGCGAGGTGCTCACGCTCAACCTCACCAACCTCATCATCCTCATCGTCATCAAGGCCATCGTCATCGTGTTCGGCATGTTCGCGTTCGGCGGCGGGTTTGGCAGCCTCTTCGGCGGCGGTTTCGGCAGGTGAGAGTGGCTGGGTGACATCGGGTGCATCCTTCGAGGCGATGTTGGTGCTAGGCTAGCCGAGGGCAGTGAACAGCTGCCCATTTTTGTCAACTTTAGTGAAGCGGTAGCAAAGAGCATGCTTCATGAAGTCATGTGTGACGTAGCGACGGCCGTCTAATTATAATTCAATATTCAGTCACTGGACTAATTGTACCACTCTGCCTTCGCTCTGGCCACCAATGACTTCATTCTAACCCTCGTTGACCCGAATCTGACCGCTGTTGACCCCACTCTGACCTTCCTTGACCCAGCTCTGACTCTCGTTAACTCCTCCCTATCTTTCGTCAGGTCGGCCGACGCGAGCCCCAGCGACTCGTGGCTGGATCGCGAGGACCTGCTGCTGATGCTGACGTACCTGCTCAGCTCTGACGGCAGCGACAACTACGAGTGCCTGAACAGGGTGGCCTGCGAGCAGCCCGACAGGGCGGCTCAGTACATCAACGCCGGGAAGCTCCTCCTCGGCGGAGCCAAAATGGCCGACAAGTGAGTGAGGTGTCTGAGCCAGGTCACTGACAAAAATACCCTGTAATTTTCAAATTTCAGATCTGTTTACTTTAAACAAAATGCACTTATTTGTAGATCTACGATCAGCAATTATCTGACTTCCGTCCAAATGAATGTAACTGATGTTATGCACGTAAATTGCATAATGGCTCCTAAGCTGTTCGGTGTAAAAATGATCACACTTGACCTCTGTACCATAAACTTACCAGCAATTCAACCGATTGGCAAACGAAATGGCACGGATTACAGCATATAGGGATTTCCAGCACACGCCGAACATAACGAGCAACGAACAAGCTAACCTCTATTATGCTTGGGTTGCACCTACACATGACATGCCATTTACCATGCACACACGACTGTAACCCTGTTGCGCGCTCATGTTGAGAAACAAACATAGTTATTTCAGCCTATCCACCTTTGGTAACCGTGATTGGCTTCGTCAGTTTTTGACACACGGCGTCACAGCCACGCTGGTTAGGCTTTCGCTATCATTTCCAGTCCACTGTCAAACTGGGGCAAACTTTTTGTCGTCATCTCATTGCGCTACCCCACGACTCACGTGCGCGTCATAAATGCGCGGCATAGCCACGGGATTGCGCACGTGCGCGCGTGCGGGCGCGCCCGATGTTGACATGGGGTTACAAGGTGCGGTCAACGGCGGAACGATTACCCCACACACTCGGTAACCGTCACAGTCAGTGGCGCTCTGTGGCGATGGGCAGTGCTCGACGGTGACCTCGTGTCAGTATCCCCTTCTCCGTCACCCTGCTACAGGTCGCGGCCCGTGCCCCCACCTCCCCTCACCAGCCCTCCGTCAGCCGTCGGGCGACGATACCGACGAAAGTAAAAGTGCGTCGCATTGTGCCGCCGGAGCGTCACGAGCGTCGCCGCGTCGTCGGCGTTTGACGCTTTGATGAGCTGTCGGGGTCGTCGCGGCGACGGGAACACTTTCTCTCCGACACGCACACTACTTGCGACGACAATGGAGAAGGGTCCCTGGGGAAGGGGAGGGTGAATCACGTTACGGGACGCCCGGCCACAAATTGGTTCATTAATGCGTCCAGTCGGTCGTGCAAGGAGGGCAGCCACTCTGGCGTGTCGACTGTTTTAAATTAGGTTTTGAAGAATTGAAGCTCCGTTGCCACGATCTATTCTTCCACGCACGTTTCCGTACCCATATTCGACACATATTACTGCGCAGCTTCTTGAATCAATCATCATCATATGCTAGAGTGAAACTCGCATGCTGTATGCACGGTGTGAAAGCTGCAGACATTTTTTTTCGGGAGTACATAATGAGGTGACCGTTATTTTTACAAACAGTTTTACCTCACAATCGCATAATTGCTACAAATTGCATATAACTTACAAATAATAGGTCTAACGAAATAGTTATAGACGCCCTAATAGTCCCAACGTCACCCGTCCGAATCGTTCCACTGACTCTACTTGTGTACCACAGGATCATCACCGTGAGTCCGGAGAAGTACACGAACGTGCTGCACGGCATGCAGAAGGCAGTGTACCACGGCCAAAGCGGCGGCGTCTGCAGTCTGCGCTACAAGTGCTCCCGGCACTGACGTCGTTGCGACTTCACTGACCTCAGGTTGATGGTGTCGTGATGACGTCACTGACCTCAGGTCGCGTCAGGGGAGGGAGTTCTCAGCGGAGTGGCTCAACTCAGTCAGCGGGACACTGGGGACACTAAGGTGGTATTTGGAAGCCGGCAGAAGCCTGAGCCGCCTGACAAGGTGCTGTTGTTGAAAAACAGCGCAAAATATCTCAATGTATGCTCCAAGCGCCCAGACCATGAATTTGCTGCTAAATTGACAAAGAGTTAAAGTGAGGACAAGGGACTACGATCATGAATCATCTCGGATCAGCCCCAGGTAAATTTGAACCCTTCAAACCGATATTTTACTGGCAAGTGTCATGAAATTGGTGACAAAAATACAAATATCCTGTTCATTGTTCAGTGTAATTAACGTAGAATCTACTTTCAAACGACAAACATTGTAAATACTGCACTATGTTAGAATATTTTAGCTTATTTATTGCCTCATCAATCGATATGGAGGACGCGTAAGTTTTGCTAGAGCTTCCAGATTGAAACTGAACTTAAAGAAAAATCGTGTCCCCTGTCACTTTTGCTCTGAATGTGTTAGGTTTGCGCTGTCGACTCCACTCTTTTATGTTTCCCCATTTTATTGTGTCTTGTTTGTTATCATTTGTATGCTAAATGGAAGTTCTGAATGTTACCCTACAATAATTGTGTGCCGTCACTATGCTTGCTTTGAATCTCCAACCATCGCGTTGTTCGCAGGATTATCTCTGATATTCCTCTTGAAGTGAAATTGATGAAAATAAGATTAATCCATCATGAGATTTAGTATATGGGTATGAATCAGTTGTACTCGGAGATCAGCAGAAACGTCAGACGTTGTTACAATTTATGTCCGCCCCGATTTCGTGTGTTTGACTGATATGCATGGTCATTGGCGATGTGATGAGACAATAAACTCGTTATGTTGTTTCACAACCGGTTGTGTTCCTTGATACGTTCGTTGAGTGCAAGTACGTAACTGCTTTGGTAGACGAGCATCGATTTGCAGCTTTCTGTAAGCTAAGGATGCCCCATACGAAGGAGATGACTGCTGAGACATGAAACACACCTTTTTTTCTGCAACGCTATCTTGGTTTACCTGTATGCATAGGATGTGCTTATATTGATCATTATTGGCGTTTGAATATCTAAATAGCACTACGATGTCAACGCGAACCACTGACAATGCATTCTATTCAAATTGTGATTACAACTGACGCGTTCCGGCTCCTCTATACCTGCATTTCTATCATTATCTCTGTCACACCGAATGGCGTAACTGGCTACTCATTGTTGAGGCACCGTATGTCGAAAGAAGAACAATATGGACGCTCAAATTACGCAGCACACAAACAACGTCCGTCCGTTCACGCCGTCTCTTCCGCCGTGCCGTCAGAATCCGTGACGTCACGGATTCTGCGGCTGCGGCGAAACAACAGTCTCTGGCCTATTGTCGGTGACGACGGCGCCGCTGACCTGTGACGTCATGTGATGGCGTCATATGTCCGGCTGGAGATAGTGCGGGGGGTTGCATCCTCGTTGCTTCCCGTTCCGCATCGTTCTGCTGTTGCAGAGTCGGCTGGAGGGCCATGGTGTGTTGGTTGCGTGGAGGTTATGAAATTGGACGTTGATGGGTCATCAACCGATTGTTACGATAATTCACAAAATGTCAGGTGCTTTGACGCATGTAAAGGTCATTTGATGGATGCTGTGTTGTTTTTAATCAAGCAATTCGAAAATCGTTCTTCGAATTTATTGTCGTCAGCGCAATACGAAACCATTTTCAGCTTGCTGCTCTAGGGAAATCCAAGTCTGCACGGTCATTTGAAAAGCTCAACGTTGAGCTAGATGTAGGTACATAAACACAGGACAGTGAACATCATGGCTTTTACTTTGACCGGCACTTTGACGTCACCAGGAAAATGAAAGTCAAAGCTGTAAGGTCATGTGACGTCATCAAGGGTCCTCAGACGGCTTTTGAACTGTCGATCGACGGGCTCTCCAACACAATCTTTGGCAGTGAGTTCCAAGAGTTAGCGGCGCGGTATGAGAAAGTAGGTACTATAGCGCCACCTGTGCGGTGTGGGGGCATGCCCGGCCAGATGGCGTATCGGTACACGCACTGCATCCAACCAACCACCACCAAATGTGCTGACCTGACCACTTTCACAGACCAAAGCAGAGTTAAGATCCGACCTGACCACTTCCACAGACCAAAACAGAGTTAAGATCCGACCTGACCACTTCCACAGACCAAAGCAGGGTTCAAATCTGCAGCTCCCTCACGCTTCCCTTTCCGTGCTGGCGGTCAATTTCACCAGACAACCGGTGGTTGAGGACAGGTTCACATCAACTTCCTCTCTGGGGTGATTCTTTGGGCGTCCCATCGGGACATTCCCGCCACAACCGGACGGTCTCTTCCGCTGCGGCTCACTGTCGGTGGTACATACGCACAGTCCAGTGCCTACACCCTATAATAGGAGTCCCATTGCTCTGTGATGGCCGAAAGAGCTTGCTCCCAACAAAACAAACGAGCTCAGAGGAATTGTGTTCGGACTATACCCGTGGCAGCAAAAGACACCAGACATAACATAATAATCAAGTGCAGGACCACATTCTAAAAATAATATTTTTAATAATAATGTAAAATAATACGATATTATCTTATTCACTGAACTCTGAACGCCCTGTAAGTATAATGAGGTCCTGGTCGACTGTAAGAAAACTAAGAAACAGTGGAACAAATGGTAGTGTATTTATGGTTCACGTGCACAAATCCGTAATAGCGACTAAAAACGCATCAGGTACGAGTCTGCATTAGGCTTTGAAGCCCTTTCCAGTGCCATCAGTGCCGGTGAACTTAGTGATCAGGGCGTAGCCCCACTCTGGCTGGTCGGAGGGCAGCATGTGGCCGCTGTTACGCACCATCACCTCGTGCAGGTTGTCGGCCACGCGCGCGTATCCGGCAATCTCGCCGTCCTCGCGCCAGATGTAGCGCTCGGCGGTACGGTACTGCTCAGCGCCGTGCCACTCGGCAGAGGCCAGCCACTGCTCCGTCAGCGTGTACGCGATGATGACGTCCAGCTGGCCGCTGTAGATCATCACCTGATAGCCACCGTCGAGCACGCCCTCCACCATCGGCTTCGACGAGTTCATCATGTCGGCCAGCAGGAAGGATTCGACGTCGCTGCCGTCGCTGAAGGGCGTGCTGCCCACGTGGATGGAGGCGCGCGTGGCCGGCAGGTTCAGGAAGTCGTTGTACGGGTTGGTGCTGATGTCGTTCGGGTCGATGGGGTAGAGGTAGTTGAAGTAGTTGACGAAACCGGTGACGTTGTAGTAGTAGGTCGGGTACGGCGTCTTGTCACCGTTCAGGATGACATCCCAAGACTGGAAGAATGCACAAAGGATGATTAACCCGCGCCCCGTAGGGGGGGGGGGGCCGAAACGGCCCCCCCCTGTCCTTTTCGGTCGATATCTCCTAAACGGCTGGAGATATCGCCACCAAACTTTCAGGACCCCTCCGGGCATCAATTTTGCACATTGTGACCAAAAATTTTTCCAGAGGCTATGATAGGTTGGCCACAAATGACGTCAGAGTGACGTCATGTTCTGTCATTTTCGACCGAAAAAAGACCTTCGCAAGAAGACCTGTCAGGACTACAGCTTTGAAGATACAGAAAAATGATCAAGACATAAAAGGTGTAGAATTGACAGGGCTACAAAACTGCTATCTCGAATTTATGAAATTTTTGAGTTTTGACCCCCAAAAATCAAAAAAGCATATTTTTGGATATATTCGCCAAAAAATCCAAAAAATTTTTGAGTTTCAAAAAAACCGGAATATATGTGATAGTGCCTACCGTCTTCTATCTACATACCAAATTTCAGATCGATACCTCGTTTTTTGGCCAAGTTATAGCGAAAAAACTGTTCAAAAATGATGACGTCAAATTGTCAAACTCAATTTTTGGCAATTCTAGAACTCGTAGAGCAAAACGAAGACCACCATTAGACTCCCCGTGACGAGCTGCATCGAATCGATACCCATTTTATGCAAAAATATCAACTTTGAAATTTGACCTAATTTGACCTGACCTTGACCTGACCTTCACAAAAACGTGACCTAGGCTGGCCCCAAAGGCTGCCTAACCCACATAATCGCATTTGTCATGTAAAATGGACCATAAAACATGTATCACACGACACATTCATATTGTGACCCCCGGTGACCTGACCTCGCTGTGACCTGACCTGGTATCAGTGACCTCAGATAGCAAAGTATGTGTTTGACGAACAATGTACCATCGATGGTTTTCAATAAATTACCAATTTACTCGCTTTCACAGCACATTTCTTGAATTGCCTGTGAACGGTGAAAATCTGACCTTTGACCTGACCTGTGACGTCATCGGTTTGACCTAGGTCAATGAAATTTGGTCACAAGGTAGTTCCCGGGTGGGGCTATCGAACGCCGTTTGAATTTTGAAAATCGGCCGGTAACTTTCCGAGATCTTAGGGGGGGGCCGATACGGCCCCCCCCCCCTACGGGTGGTAGGGTCCGCCGGTAGCCCTACGGGGCGCGGGTTAAGTTACTGCATTGTTGCGTAGTTAAATTCAACGCGAAATTGTATATCGCTCCTCGCTAATGGCTACAAATTTCTAATCGAACCGTGGACGATAAACCATCCGCAGCTTTTACCAGTCATGCACCCCAAACGACTACTGCGTTTCTGAGCCTCGATTTATCCCCCCCCCCCCGCGTCGACAGCATGTACAGGTCTCGCGGGTTTTAGCGGTAGGTTTTGCACCTAGAAAATTTAGTGTACTTCAGGCTATATCTTCGTCGTCTTAAGCTTTTAACCCTCGCCCGCACATGCCATTTTCCCATCCTAGAACGCACATGGGGGGGGGGGGGTGCCACCCCCCGCGCCATTTCGTTCCTGTTGGAGATAGAGCTTAGCGGTAACGACCAAAAAGATTGTTTGGGAAACGACGAATCCAATGATACCCAGAGTTACCTTTTCAGGTCAGTCATTGACCTTCCAGGTCAGGTCAAACTAAAAAATGTTGCTGTTTTGGGTCACCGTTGGATATCAAGTGCGCCATGCCTATTGCCTATCATATACCGATGACGATGTCGTTTTCTGGTGCCAAGCCAGCTAGAACCTCTTTGCCACACTACCCGACCAGGTTTTTGCTGCTGAGGTCATTTCAGGTCAAGTTAGGTCAAGGTCAATTATATGTGTTTGTATGTCTGTGTGTGTCTGTGTGTATACTGATGTGTGCACCGATTGTTTATGTGTCCATATTACATGCAATCATGATCTGAGAAGCTTTTACCAAAAATGCAGTCAAAAAACATCACAAAAAGTAAATTCCGCTTGCCTAAAACGCAATTTTCTTAGATGACCTAGGTTGACCTTGACCTTGACCTTGACATCTGTACATCGTCGAACAACATGTTCCATGATAGGTGGAGGGTAAGACTGGCAAAATAGGCCGAAATCAAGGTGTCAAAAGCTCACAAGGCCCATAGCCAACGCAAGATGTTGAGAATTGGCCATTTGGGTCATGACATGACCTGAAAAACAAGGTCATATCTCCGAAACCAAAAACTACAGAAACTTGAAATTTTCAGTGGACATCAGGAAAGGATAGAGGAGCAGCTATACGAAAAATCAGCCTCCTAGCTTTAAAAATGTTGAGTGCAGAGCAGAAAGACTACCTGGGGGGAGGGGTGGCAACCCCCCCCCCCCCATGTGCGGGCGAGGGTGAAGTGTTGAAGATGCGATCGATTTGTTGGGTAACAAGCCATGACCTTGTAAAATGGCTTCATCGTAGATCGATTAGTTTCTGAGATATAACCGGAAAAGTAAAAGTGCAAAACCTACCGCTTAATCTCGCGAGACCTGTACGTCTCTAAGCCTCGCATCACCCTCTCCACCCTCCTCTCGGTTCCCTCACGTGGAAGGCGGCGATGTAGTCGCCCTGCTGGATGAGCTCGGCCGTCCGGTCAGCGCCATCGTGGAAGTACTGCGCCTGGTTGGCGTCCACCAGCCCGATGCTGTAGAGGAAGTAGCCGTAGTCCAGCTGGTTGATCGGGTCCACCAGACCGTCACCGATAGCCATACCTGGGAGAAGCAGGTGAAGAAGGGAGGTAGTTTGATGGTTTTGTCGTATGGCATCTTGCTATTTCTGTATATGAATAAGACAGCGAGACTTTGTGGCATCTGTTGTAACGGTAGGCATTGATTGCATTGGAGATTAATTTCTCGGCCCTTACCTTTCAGGTTGATCTTCAGATTGGCCGTCGGGTTCTCTTGGTGAATCTTGTACGAAATAGATGGAACGTATTTACCTGAGAAGATCACAACGTTTTCATGAATCCAATAAATATGCACAGTTCATAAGCCGAAAGAGCAGATATCTGAGTCAGAAGTGCAAAAAGCTGGGCCTATTTTGTCCTTCTGAAGCCTTATTGATGCGCGGGCATTTCTCCAAAGCCACAGCCAGTTTAGTTGAACAGGAAGTTGGGAGACAACATCACTGAAGTTTCCCATAACGTTACGCAATTCTGCACTCATACTTTACGATCAAATTTCGCAGTCATGTTCCTTTACTTAAAAAAATGGCATGTTACGAAACGCTGTTGGTTTTTCGCTTCAAGCGTTACTTTTTAGGAAGAAAGGTCACTTTTTATCATTCTGAGAATTTAGGACGTGCGAACCAAGCGGTAAATTTCCACGTCTCGGTATGATAGCGCCAGATAGCACGGAGCAATGGGAGCTATCCCGAGGTGCGACAGTTGGTCCCGTTCCCATCCTGCTGCGGCTCCCCAGCCGAGGGGAGCGGCCCCAAAATGAGCAGCTCACCGGCATACGACTCTCCGGTGACGTAAAAGTCGTTGGACTGGTAGCTGTCGAAGAGGGTGAAGAACTGCGTGAGCGCCTCGTACAGGTCGCGAGCGACGTCCTCCTGGTTGCGGGCGAAGCCGGCCTCATCGTCGGTGAAGCTGAATCCTGCCGCATCACCGGCAAAACGAGACGTCATTCTGGGAAACTGGAGCTTAAGCCCACGTTTTCAATCTACATTTATGCTTAAATGCCTCAAATAAACTTGAGTAACACTCATATTTGTTCACAAAATAATACTGATGCAGCAATGAATCTGGAATAATAAGTATACAGTAAACAAAGAATTAAGGCGCCTCCCATCACCAGCAGCTGTATGAAGGACTAAGTAATTGCCCATACCGGTTCCCACTGGGTTGTCGATGTAGAGCACGTTGTGTGTGTTTGTCCAGGTGAGCTCGCGGGGCACCAGGTTCAGGTCGAGGTCAGCCCCGAACGGACCGTTCTCCACGAACAGGCCGTAAAGACTGGAGGCGCCGGGACCTCCCTGGAGCCAGAGCAGCAACGGTGCGTCCTGGGGCGCCTCCTGCACGGGTGGACGGAGGTCGGAGACCACGGTCAGGGCGTTCGGCTGAGGTCAGGGTTGATATGCTGGACGAATTTTGCCTTCAAATACGTGGGTGTTATTTCCTTGGAAACTGTCCGAAACTTTGACAATCTCTGATGAGAAGCTGCTCCCACAAACACGTGTGGTGCGACCAGTTTCTTAATAAATTTCGCAGTGAATAGTTGTAGTTCCGTTCGAGTCAATAGCTTTGATTCAATGTCCCTCTATAAAGAAGATGAAGAAGGAACGTCGTTTTCATCGAAGATGAAGATCATCGTTTTCATCTCGGCACCAGTTACCCTGTACATACTCACCTTGCACTCGAAGAACCAGAAGAAGGAGTTGGAGTTGTACTCCTTGTTGACGGTCAGGTAGCCCGAGTAGCTGGTTACATTCTCGCCGGCACCAGGCAGGCCAATCACCTGCAATGTCAGATCAAATGTGACATATATCCCGTGTAGAGCATGATGTTAGGTGAAACGGATGATTCGTTACACATAAACAGCAAAAGTTACATATCAGAAAAGAAACAGGTCTAAAGGTTATTCACAGATAATATCTCCATATAGACTGTTAGCGAACTTGTGAATCTCCTTCTGCCCTGTTCACGGGCCTGTCCAGCTCACCCTGCTTTGTTTGCAGGCCTGTCCAACTCACCCTGCTCTGTTCGCGGGCCTGTTGACTCTGTTCGCGGGCCTACTGACTCACCCTGCTCTGTTCGCGGGCCTGTTGACTCTGTTCGCGGGCCTACTGACTCACCCTGCTCTGTTCGCGGGCCTATCCAGCTTTTGCATGTACTCACCCTGCTCTGTTCGCGGGCCTGTTCATCTCACCCTGCTCTGTTCGCGGGCCTGTATATCCACTCACCCTGCTCTGTTCGCCGACCTGTTCAACTCACCCTGCTCTGTTCGCGGGTCTGTTGACTCTGTTCGCGGGCCTGTCCAACTCACCCTGCTCTGTTCGCGGGCCTGTCCGACTCACCCTGCTCTGTTCGCGGGCCTGCTCCAGCTCGCCGGCCTCAATGAGCGGAGTCAGGAACAGCGGCTCGCCGGGTTCACCGGCGCCCGGCTGCAGTTTTCGACCGACATCGGCCGGGTAGCGGCGGTTCAGCGGTGACCTCAGCAGCGCCTGGGTCGGCACCGCCGACAGCAGGACGGCCAACAGCAGCAGCGGCAACATCGCGATCCCTGGGCCGGGAGAAGCGACAATTTTATTGGCACTGGTACTTGTCCCTCCCTCCCTCAAAAATTTAATTTGGGAAAAGGTCTATAATGTTTGTACCTACCTGTCTATTTTCAGCTCAGTTATACATTTCGTCGAGGATCACGACGTCACTTTATTTTTGATACTGGTTTGAAGCTCTCATATAACTTACTTTTAAATAATAATAGGCGAAGTATTTTAAATATCGATAAAGTGAAAGGAGCAATCATGACATCATAGATACCGTGAGTCATAAGTGAACAAAATAAAAGCAATTACTGTAGCAACCGCTTTTGAATACCTATTAGCCGTTTTCACGACGGGCTATCCGGCGAATGCACCTAATTTGACCAAATCTGCACCGAATCTCTTTTACAGTAAATATCTTCATTTTTTAATTTATTTCAGTGTTTTAATCGATGACACTCTCTGATAATATGATAAAGCAGGCATATAAGCAATTAGCGCAACCCTAGCTGATAGCTACTAAGAGATACACTGAACCTAATTTAACCAAATCTGCACCTAATCTGCACCAAATGTGCACCAAATGTGTACCAGATATCCGTCGTAAAAACGGCTATTACCACATTGAAACTGAGTTTCATAAAATACAACACTCGCAAATAATCTAAAAATAATGCAAACCGTTTCGGTTCAAATTAGTTATATCATGTTATATTCGTTTCAAATTTCGCTTTAATGCAGGTTTTAATTGACACACAAAAAGGCAAACAAACGCCTTACCTCTGACGTGTTATACGAACCAGGTGTGACTGCCGCACCAATGGATGAAGACGCTCTCTTTATCGACACATTGGCTCAGCCTCGTCCGCCATAACTATCATCATCCTCACGCTGATACCACACACATTGGCAGGTGGAAAAATCCCAGCGGCTCCCCGCCAATTCAAAATGCGTTCTGAGTTACACAACGTCAAACCACATAACGTACACGTGTCTTTTTTAATCTGACGATTTAATTCGTCATGTAGTCCCAGGAGGCTCCATGCTTGATAAATCTGCATAGTCTTTGTTTCGTCGGTACTTGATAGCAATGACCAATATTAAAAAACAGCAACAAAACAATTCTGAAGATACAGTTTTCCTCGCCGGAAATATCACATTTCTCCAGGCCGATGAGGTGGAATCTACCTCCTCCCTGTTTCGCATCTAATTGAGCTAGAGTCTCACGAAAAAAACGAGGGTATGCACCGTTACGAGACTCAACGACCGGTGCCCGATTTTAAGGTTTCAGGTCAACCGGTGGCCTCTGAGGTCAGCTCAAGTGCCTCAAGGTAGATATTCGATTTTTGGCGAATATATTCGCCAAAAATGGCCGCAGAGTCTCAGCTTTCGTACCATCGCTTTCGCTATGTTCTAATGCGTTGCACGATATACTTTTTGTTTGGGTTAGGTCAACTTAACCCGCGCACCGACGGGGGTCTGCGCCAACTTCGCACCGACGGGGGGGGCGGATGACCGCCCCCCCCCCCTGAGATCTCGAGAACGAAGCAAGATAGCGACAAGCGGTAAACGGCATCGGATACGCACGGTCAAGATCTACAATTTTTACAAAGGTCATTTTCAGGTCAGGTCAAAGATGACGTCACAGGGGTCGAAAAAGTCAAAATGGCGGCGCTAGATATGGAGAGTTTTTCTCGAATAACTTTCGAATTAGTCAAGATAGGAACAAACTAAGGGCATCATCGTGATCCTCTCGTCAATCCGCATCGAATGATATATATGTTGACCTCGAAAGGTCAAGGTCAAAGGTTGACCTCCGTTCACGTGACCTCGAGGTCATCATGTATATCATTCGATGCGTCTGAACACAAATGACGAGCTGAACACAATGAGACCATCCACGCGTCTGTATCTTGTTCCTGTACGGAGTTATTGGCCAAAAACCTTTGGTGACCTTTGATGACGTCACATGACCTCACAGCTGCCCAACAGCAAAACAGACCTCAAGGTAGTGAAGGTTGATCGTATATGAAGTCATGTATGGTATATGGGGCCATTCCGACCCGTTTTAGTGGTAAAAACAGGGAGTTGATTTTTCCCCCATTGACTTATAATGGGGAGGTCGCGAAATTGACCTGACCTTAGGTCACCGATATCAAAATTCCGAGATATACAAATTGTAGCTACTAATGACCTAATAACATCCTGCGACTTTCAAAGGCCTCCGACATCTACTGTAGCTCTGGCACGGTGACAAAGTTGCAAAAAAGTGACTTGAGGTTGGGTCATTCAAAGTGACCTGGTGACCTGACCTTGAAAGGTAGGAGGTTCAAACTTGCACACCATGTGTAAAATTGATGAGGGAATAGTCATACCAAATTTCGCGGCGCTACGCGCCGCGGTTTTCCCGCTATTTGCGAAAAACCTCAGGGGGGGCGGATATCCGCCCCCCCCCCGTCTGTGCGCGGGTTAAGGGCTGACCTCAGGTCAAGTTCATGTCAAAGCTATTGAGGTCACGAAGTTTGTCTATTTGTGACAGAGTGCTGACGTCACACGGGCTAGACTTCAGATAGCTCCCCCATGGGGAGGGGGAGCGCTGTCTGTGGGGGGGGAGGGGTACACAGCTGTTGCCGGTCACCAGGGTACGGGCCGCTGTGTTTATACAAATGACAGCGTCGTTGTGGACCCGGCGAGGAGGCCAGATTCGTTCTCTGTCCACCGACAGCGCAGAAGCCGGCTGGCGCACGAGAGGAGCATCTCAGGGAGTGGCGGCTGAAGTCCTGAGTTTCAACGGTGAGTAGACGACGGGAGTGTAGGTAACGTGTGATCCACGTGTCGAGTTACTACTGTTGATCGATCAGCCAGCTTACAAACATTCACACATGTGTATTGCTGCACTGTTATTACACTCATATCGACTGTCTGTCGATCAGACAGGAAATACGTGAAAGCCCTGCATTCTATGATGTTTTCTTTATGCATACGCCATGCATGTCCGAAGGGATAAGTAGTGGAAACTAATTGATGACGGTGGAAAATATACTGCATCTTATGTAATGCTCGAGATGCTCTCAGAATGTGAAGAAAACGTCTCGCAGCACCACCAAATTTGAGCGTTTTCATGTGAAAGGCTTTTAAATAAGTAAGAAAGCCTAAAGACCAGTTGACCTGATATGAAGCAAATCATTTAGAACATGTTTATTGTTTATGGTCTCAATAGAATAATGCATATGCTCTCGTCACGAAAAGTTGTGCACCACACAGCATCTTACCGATATCTCACTCGATTCGTCCTTGTGCAGATCTGAGGCCATGCATTTTGCCGCTGTTCTGGTGGCGGCCCTGGCCGTGACCGCTCACGGGCTGCGCTCACCCCTGGGAAAACACTTCCCTAAGAGCACACGGCGCGTGGCGCCCGGTGTCGGCGGCGAGGCGCTCTTCCTGACGCCCTACATCCAGGCGGGAGATCTGGAGACGGCCAGGAGTCTCAGTAAGGTGAGTGCGCGGTGGAATAGTAAAGCAATTAGTGAGGGGTGGTGGGGTCGTGTGGGAGAGTCCACTCATCCCTCCACGAATGCGAACGCTTTTGAGAGCGACAGTCCACCGACTGTAGTGGATTTTCGCTTTCAAAAACTGAACACAAATTCAGTCCTGTGAAATCGATCATCGAGGTCTCGAGATCGATCTCTCGACCCATCGCTATTTACATTTTTTTGGTATAAAAACGGGTGTGTAAGCGACGTAAAAATCAGCTTTATTGTGTGGGTAAGAACACAGAGTTTGGCTGCTGAGACTGGCCAGCTGGAGGATCAAAGTTCACTTTTGTCTTTTTACGAGACACGCATAAATGTTTACTGATACGTTTCCCTGTTCAGTTATGTAAGTGAGGCGAGTTTTTACAGTCTTTTTGTTTTGCGACGAGGCCTTTGCAGTAGATGTTCTGTTCTACGAATGTGTTGTATCCCGAATAATGTCGCATCCACACAACGTAACAGGTATGGCAATAAAATACCGAGATTTTGTGCACGCTTTATTGCGGCTGACCGTCGGATAGCTAATGATGTAGGTCGGATTATATATTATTACGGGCAGTGTCACTGGAAAACCCACCGTCTCCCTCACAAAACTCCATTTGTTTTAGGTGTCGGGCCTTGACGGTTACAGCGATGTGAGCTACTCGGGATATCTGACAGTGAACGGAAACTACAACTCCAACATGTTCTTCTGGTTCTTCCCTGCAGCGGTAAGCGAAATACTAAACTGCAAAAGATCAATTATTATTTCTAAAAATCTTTTCTCTGCATACGCTGATCATTAATTGCTTCTCAGAAGAGGTTATGACATGTCTCAACTGTCCAGCCACTGCCCTGTTCCTCTCCTAAATGGAAATTTGTAACCGAGCTCGCTTTTCAGGAGAATCTAGAGGGATCTCCAGCGCTCGGTCACATGTTCTCTTCTCCTGAATTATATATCTCGGATCGCTCCTCAGGAGAGCCCGGAGACGTCGCCGGTGGCGCTCTGGCTCCAGGGCGGTCCCGGAGGCTCCAGCATGTTCGGCCTGTTCGTGGAGAACGGTCCGTTCGGCCTGGACGAGAACATGAACCTGGTGCCCCGCAACCTCACCTGGGTCAATCGGCACAACATGCTCTACATCGATAACCCTGTCGGCACCGGTAAGATAATCGACGGCTTGTTGGCAAAACTGCTAAAATTGATAGAACCGAGTAAAGCGCTGGCTGATTTTTGGATTTTCCTTCGCTAGTCCCAGCCGACATTGAGGCCCCAGACGGTGACATGTGACGGCCTGTGACCTGTCCTCGGTGCCCCCGCAGGATTCAGCTTTACCGAGGACGACGCTGGCTACGCCACGAACGAGGCAGACGTGGGCCGTGACCTGTACGAGGCGCTGACGCAGTTCTTCACCCTCTTCGACAGCTACCAGTCCAACGACTTCTACATCACCGGCGAGTCGTACGCCGGTACGTGTCGTGTGATGCACGGTCGTTTAGTTAGCGTACAGCTAACAGGTGACATGGAACTGAGTGTGACTGTGAATGTATAACTTTCCAAACGCTAAGCAAGTGTACTAATCAACATCAAACTTTCATTTAGCATTTATGCTTATGCCAAACAATGCTAAACACAATGATGCATCATTTCTTTTCAGGAAAGTATGTTCCGGCCGCTGCCTACACTATCAACCTAAACAACCCAACTGCCGAGCTGAAGATCAACCTCAAAGGTGAGACGACATTGCTGGCCGTTTCTTGTTCATAGGGTTTGCCGATGAAATGCAAAAAAGAAAGAACTTGAAAGACTCAAATTTTTACAAAAGGGCTTATTTTTGCATTCACCAATATTCCATTTGCGAAGTTCTTACAACACTGACTTGATCATATTATCGGGAGCTCTGTTCCAGATAATGGCCCATTTTATCGTTGCTTTCTCGCTCTCAGGTATCGCGGTGGGTGACGGCCTTGTCGACCCCATCAACCAGCTGGACTACGGCACTATGCTCTACAACGTTGGACTCATCGACGCTGAGCAGAAGGTCTTCTTCACGGAGAAGGCCCAGGAGACTGCCGACCTCATCAACCAGGAGAAATTCATCGAGGCATTCCACGTCAGTAATTTACGAATTCCTAAGGTTCTGCATATGATTGAATGTTATCGTGAACAGACAATAATAAGCTGCTGTTTTTGTCTTACAGCACTAAAAATAAAAAAATAAAAATAAAATGACGACGGCAATTTATATCTCAAACCTACCAGGTAGCAATTCATCTATGCTCATGAATATGCAGATACTTGTATACTAATAACCGCAAAGCACTTTACGTACTGCTTTTGAGCTCCGCTATTAAAATCGATGTGCGAATTCATTGAATCATTGAAGCGAATTCAGAACAAAGGACAAAGATCCATACTGGTTGTTGTTTTCGAATGGCAAGGCAGGTATTTACAGCTCAGCAGCGTTTCACGTCTTCCAGCCAAGTTGCCGGAGTTGGCTGCTGACCTGAGTGATAGCATATAAATCATAAATGACAGCATATATCTCAGGCATTTAGATTTAATTCTTATCATGGAGCATTGAGCTTCGGAATGGATGAACATTGTTGTTTACAAGCATGTTTCATTGTGATTTCAGACCTGGGACATCGTTCTGAACGGTGACAAGACGCCATACCCCACCTACTACAAGAACGTCACCGGCTTCGACAACTACTTCAACTACCTCTACCCGGTGGACCCTTACGACGCCGTGCCCTTTGACGAGTACCTGAACCTGCCGGCCACGCGGGAGGCCATCCACGTCGGCAGCAGGCCCTTCAACGACGGCAGCATCGTGGAGACCTACCTGCTCGCAGACATGATGAACTCGTCGAAGCCGATGGTGGAGGCGGTGCTGGACGCCGGCTACCGGGTGATGATCTACAACGGCCAGCTGGACGTCATCATCGCCTACACGCTGACGGAGCAGTGGCTGGCCTCTGCCGAGTGGCACGGCGCCGAGCAGTACCGTACCGCCGAGCGCTACATCTGGCGCGAGGACGGCGAGATTGCCGGATACGTGCGCGTGGCCGACAACCTGCACGAGGTGATGGTGCGAAACAGCGGCCACATGCTGCCCTCCGACCAGCCAGAGTGGGCCTATGCGCTCATCAACAAGTTCACTCATCCGAACGATGCTCAGTTTGTCTGAGAATAGATGTGACTGTGTGTCCCTTCAATGTCTCAGTGTTATCAATGTTGATGTGCTCACAACGCTGTTCCTACAAATGGCAATAACGTTTGAATGAAAATAATAAAACTGCCGCCCATCCATGGCGGAGGCATGCATTTTACCTTCAGACGATGTTTGTTTCAGAACGAGAAATGACGTCAGAGTGACGTCATGTCGGCCGATTTTCATGCAAAATACTGAATTACGGCAAACGCTCTCAGGAGCTCAGTTTTAACCCTCGCCGGCACGGGGGGGGGGGGTTGATGCAACCCCCCCTAAGGTTTTTTCGCGAATAACTCGCGTAAAAAGCGGCCGATCGCGACGAAACTTTCAGTACCCTCGCATTGATCAATTTTACACCTACCCTGAAAATTTCATGACCCTGACCCCAATGACCTTTGACCTGTGACCTCTTTTCTGTGACCATGTTTGGCCGAAATCGCGGTTCGGCGCATGTCGGCTCGCATTAGCCGTGCGTTTGCAAGCTTTTCGTGGTTTCAAACGTTCAAACATGTGATTTGATGTTGCTCCCGTGCATTAGGGTGGGTGTCAAGGTCACCTGAAGGTCAGGTCAGGTCACTGACCTTTGGTGACCTCGGGTGACCTCGGTTCACTTTTTCGAGTTTTACATGTTTCTAGGCTAGTTTTTGGAGCTGAATTCGAATTTAGCAACCATTTGAACATTTACGAAGTAGTTTTGGTGCCTTCGTAACATGTTACGAAGCTGTCCGAGGCGGTTGACACGTATTACGAATACCCGTCACAACCCCTACCGGGTGACCTGACCTGACCTGACCTGACCCGACCTGGTCTAAATGCTTAAAGACATCATCTCTGATCAAAACTAACACGATATTCGTGATCAGCACCCCGGAAAACCACATAGCAGCCACACTTTACGACTTTCTAACAGGTCCCGATTTTCCCGGTTTTCGGGTCATTGACCTGACTTGGAAGGTCACCCGATGACCTAGGACCTTAAAATTGGGTATCATCGGCTTCCTCTCGTGACGGGCAACACGCTCGTTTTTTTCCGCGAAGCTCTAGCTCGATCAGGGGCCAAACGCGAGGGGGGGGGGTGTCGTACCAACCCCCCCCCCCCCTTGTGCCGTCGAAGGACTCAAAATGGCCTGTGCCGGCGAGGGTTAACCTTCCGACGATGTTTGTTTGAATACGCGAACATAAGCGAGGTGTTTTTTTTTTTTTTTAGTATGGAAACGAAACAAAAAATGTGACGTCGACAAATCAGGGCATAGCTCATCGTTGAAGCTCAGCAGCAGCTGTTTGAACCTCTAGTTTCCGGACCCGTCCACAGATGTCTCTGCACCCGCCCTGCGGGACGGTCAATGGTCGCTGGGTGGCCGTGCGGGCTGAGCGGGGTCGAACGGCGCACCTGGCCGGGACGGGATCCACCCTCCGCGTGCCGCGTGTCACTCTGTCAGCGACAGACAAAGGACAGGACGCACCGGACGGCCGCGGTTACCCCCTCCCCTCTCCCTCCCCCTCCGCTGACCACCCACGGGGCCGGCCGCCGCGCGGAGACGGTCGGCCAGACACCGCGGCGACAGGTATCATTAGGGTTCCTGAAAATGTCCGCGCCCCAGCGGCTAATGACGTGGCGCTGGCAGGAGGAATGTGACGCGCTGAGAGGCGCGGTGTCACCGGGGCCGAGCTGTCACTGACCGGCGGACACCGCCACACTGAGGGATCCAGAAATTGAGCTGCTGCGGGGGACAAACTCTCCAAAAAATTTCCGAAACACGAAAAACTCCTCGGATTTCGCCACTGGTGAATCCCAAAAGACAGCCTCGGACGCTGTGGGGGATACCCCCAAAAAGTTTCTCCAAAGCTAAAAAAGCTAATCGGATGTCAATTTTTGAGGCACTGCTGTGCCGTTTAAAATAAACTTTTCTTTTATAGTTGTTTAGTTTTCCTTTTGTTAACTAAAACTGCAAATTTTGGTCCATTTCGGGCGCTGCAGGAGGGGTTGGAGCAATGCCCCTCTTGGCTCCACCAATGGGTTTCGCTGCCTAGTGCCTTGCTGCGCCGTTCAAAACAGTTTTTTTACCTAGACGCAACTGTTCACTGTTCAGTTTTCATTCTTTTCCAGAAAACAACATTTTTTTTCGCCCAATTATGGCCGCTCAAATGCCAACCCCTTTGCATCCCCAGTGCACTACCAATGGTGTAAAGTAGGCACAACTGCCAGATATTGTCGCTTTTTATTTTGTATGCATAGCTCAGTGGTTCAGTTGACAGACGGTTTGATGAACGTTAGACAGCGGACAGACGGTGTAGGAGTTCATTGCGCTTTGACAGCCGTTGCATTCAGGAATGCGAAGTCATGAAAATTTCGAACAGCATATCATTCGGTGATTTACGGGCTCCGTCTATTGTTTCTGGCTTCCGGTAAAAAAACTGGTTTTGAATGTTACTTGAAGATGCTTGAAGATTGAAGATATTTTGAATGTGGCTTGAAGAAGAAGTCTCGAGAGATATATCGTCATTTCACAGCATATATCTGCGGCAGCAGGGGCAGCATTGATATACTTTTTCTGTTTCTTTGTTATTAGTTTCTATTTGTATAATTCATTTTTGATACTCGTTTCAATTTCCAAAAACTTCGGTCTGGCAGCTGGACTGGACATGCAATGCGAATAGCAATTCACTATTTGCAAATAATCCCATTCAAATTCGGCCTGTTGCACCGGATGCCAAAACGAAGGAATGGGGCTTCCTGCACACAATAGCACCTGGTATGTTAAGTCGCCAGAAAAACAGCTCCAGAATGGTCAGGTATGCGGAGTAGAGGCCCTAATCGTCGGCGCATCTTAGGAAAGACGGCGGCCAGCTGGCAGAGGCTCGGTGGGCGCCGACTTTCCTGTCCGTCTGCACGGGAGATGCCGCCGCCAGATGGCGTGCTCCACTGCTGCGCTGAGTGGCTGTGGCTTGAGCTGAGACACACGGGGTCCTCCCTGGCGTCGATAGCGCCCCTTGGCAGCCTCTGCTGACGTCAAAGCTCCCCAGTTTCGCCTCTTGGTTCGTCTACAAGCGTCAAAGAGTGCTCCTGACCCCAAAGGTTCTGAATGACACTGCGTAAATCTCGGTTATGACATAAATAACATGACTGAGATGTTAGTTCTATCACGCCCCCTCACGTTATACAGTGGATACAGTAATAGGATAAGCCATATATGGCTTATCCTATTCGTAAACGATGTTTGAATGCAAAACCTAAAGCTTTATGGGAATTTCGATTTTTTGTTTGAAAACAGGGACACAGTCTGAGCCTGGGTACCACTCCAATAGGCACAACCATCAACCATGATATTGAGGTGTTTGCGCATCAACATGCCACCGGCTGGCGTCGTCTTCTCCAGTGGCAACCTTCTCTGCGGGGGGGTCTCCGTTGACAGCTCTACGTTTCCCTTATGCCAGCTGACGTCACGCCAGGTCACCTCCACAGTGACGCCGACTGACGTATATCTTCGATGACGTGCGGCTGTGCCGATTCAGAACCGCCATCGACGGCCTCTCGTGTCCGACATCAACATTCGTCCATAAGCGGCACCGCCATAGGCTCCGACGCTTCTGGTACGACCGGCCGGCCTCCCGAAATGGTCAGCCAGGTGTGCAGGAAGTGGGCATTACACTCGGTGTCCAAAGCAGCCGATCAGCAATTCAGATTGAGACACGACGTATGTGTACTAGTAGCAGGTGTCTGCTGGATGTGCAGCTATCGATTTGCGTCATGGCCTCGATTTCGTCATGCTCACAACCATAATGAGGAGTGACTGAAAGGGTGGCGTGAAACTGACAGATGGCGGAATGCTGTTACATTAAGGCGCCGACGATTGGCAAATAAGATATCGTCGCACACACAGGAAGTCATTGCAACATCTCGGAGCCTGTAAATATAATCTGGACAGGTATTGTATTGAGAGTACCTTATGAAATTCACGATACAAATATCAAGAAACAACATTTCGATACGACGGCGCTGATGAAGTCGTAGAGACGAAACCGGTACTCCATTCATGTAATTGTTTTTTCATATTTGTATCGTGAATTTCATAAGGTACTCTCAATACAATCTCGGAGCCTTTATTCTGATAGCCATGTATGTATGTACGTGGTAACACTATTTCGTGATTTTCTACGGGTCAGATTAGTCAAAATTGAGATGCAGTTTGTCCAGAACGATAGTCGAGCTGCACCTGAGGAGAACGAATCATTTTCCTCTCTGTTACAATTTGTATTAGGTATGTCAAATGCTCCGTTTACACTGGATGACTGCCGGAAAAGGCGGTATCGTAAAATGGTTGATGACTGATTTTCATCGTCAGAGCCATTGCAATGTGACTGCATGGAATCAGCAATGACTATCAGTCATAAAGAGAGAATTGAAATGCATTTGATTCTTAAAAATTCAAGAAACTGTTTTTTATATACCTATAGACAGTTTAGTTGCGCTTATGACTCACGGTACTGGCAAACGCTGCTACGCACGGCCGGATTTGAGTTCTGAGGTTTGGAAATCCCTGACAGCTTTTGGACTTATAACGGACTTCATTCGCGCAAGGGCTTGCAATTTTCCAGGCACAAGTAGCCAAATTTAAACTGCTTCAGGTCTTTGTCGGTTCTTGCTAAGCTGACGGTTAGAAAAAGGATTTCTGGTTCGGTCGACCACCACGTAAAACTGGCACCCTTACGTTTTCCAGGTTTTATTTTCGGCATCTTTTCATGTTTTAGGGGTGCCATATGAAATCGCTTGTCCTCCGCCTGGTCTCGGGGTGAAGCGCCGCGGCCCGGGCCGCGGCCGTCACGTGACCTCGTGCCCAGTCACCCCCGACGGGCCGATCTGAGCTGATCGGTGTCCCGGGGAGTGGCCGTCAGTTCCGGCTGGACACCTGGACCGGCCGCCGGCCACCGCTGAGTTACCGAGACGGCCCCATCGACTTCATCGGCTGCCATCGATGCAGGCGCTCACATTTTTCATGTCGTGCCTCGCCATGCATTAGCCACAGCGCCCGAACACTCCTCGAAAGAACGTGAATCGCATGCGCCGCCTGTAAGTGGGCACCTTCGCTCGAGCCCGCCAGGTGAACAATGACATACAGTACTGAT